TGGGCCATTAGAATATTGCAAGGAGAAGATTGGATGCTACAGAAAACTATGTCCAATTTTAACCAGTTAAACCAGGGGTAGGCAACCTTGGCTCTTTTATGACTCATGGACTTCAACTCCCAGAATGCTGGCTCAGAAATTCTGGGAGTTGAAGTCCATGAGTCATAAAAGAGCCAAGGTTGCCTACCCCTGAGTTAGACAGTTTGCCTTAGGCTCTCATGTAAATCAAACGGTCTATTTGGGTAAAGCATCCATGCTATTTCCCCACAGAAGCCAAACCCATTGACACTGACAATGTGAATTTTGTGTCACATCTTCTCCAAGGCCACCGAACTCCACGCTAAGATTTCCCTCTGCCAAGGACCTAAATTAGAAGAGAGATCGAGGCTACAGACAGGACATAAGAGTCCTTCCTGCCTAGCACCATCAGCTGCTGGCAAGGCACAGAGGAGGAGGAGGTGCAGAAGAGCCCAAGAGACATTTGTGACTCAGTCCCTCCTCCACTTGAAGAGCCAAGGACCTTCCTGCCCACACAATGTCCCTCAGTGATCCTACCAAGCTGCTAAGCCTCTGCATAGCCTTAGGGAAAGTCACGTGACCTACTGATAGACATTATTTATAGCCTTGTATGTGCATACAGTACCATCCTTGTTTGGGCAATGTTTGCAACAAAGAAGAATGCCATTATCTTCTCCCCCATGCCACCCACCCACAAGGCATCCACCAGAAGCAGTCAGTCCGTATGCGATCATAAACCACAGTCCCAAGAGACAGGGGATGTGACCCAGAGAAGAATCACCAGAAAGCAGAAGCATCAGTGCTGTATTTGTACACAGAGATGATCTTTAGCGTGTAATGGTAAGATTTGGCTGTGTATAGGTGTCTGCTCAGATATGATTGTCATGGGTTGTTCTACTAAATTTGGGCTCCACAATCTGGTACCATTGACTTCAGCGTGCCTGTAAGAATTTCCTTTGGTGCCTATGATGCTTTGCAGCACACACACACACACACACACACAGAGAGAGAGACACTTATTTCCCAAAAAGAAAAATAAATCTGAACTTAATCCCTTCCTTACCCAGTATAGGATGCCTTCTTTATTCTATTCTCAGGGAATTTAAGACAATTTGAAAGATAAATTGTATGTGAAAGAAACAGATGATCCTTTCAGAGAAATACAATTTGCACAAACATACATATACCCTTGTGGATGCAAAGATAGACAATTATTTTAATTGCAAAAATTAAAAGTGCCACAAAACTCTTGCATCACCATTTGTTCTAATAATCCTTTGTCCCCTCCACCCCCCTCCCCAAGCCTGGACATTTGCAGAAAAGGAAAAACTCTTCTTTGGAAACCTATCAATTTGCAGAGGAAAAATGAGGATAAGTCTTGAGTACCTTTAAAACAATTTGTTTAAAAAGAAAAACAATCACTCCTTAAGTGTATTTAAAATAAATTTGTAAAAAAAAATGAAAAAAGATGTGGTTGTGGTCACCATTTTTACTTGTTTATATTTTTAACCCCCTTCTGCCATACATAACCCACACAGGTACAACGGTAATCCAGAATTATAACCACCCTACATACAGTAATTTCTCATTTGTATTCTTTGTCTGTTTATTTATATTTACTTATTTTTACTCCACATATCCTCCAAGAAACTGTATTACAGTGGTCTGTGCCCTTTTGCAATTCACAATGCAAAATTCATTTGAGGTGGTGATTGACTCAAGATCAGCTACTGTACTTGTTACCTGAGGCCTGCTTTCCTATTTACAGTATCCAGTGACACTGTAACCTCTGTGCACACCAACTGACGGTTGAATATTAGTTCCTCAGGTCTCCTACTTCTCCTCTTCTTGTAACAGCAGAATAGCAGAGTTGGAAGGGACCTTGGAGGTCTTCTAATCCAACCTTCTACACAGGCAGGAAACCCTATACCATTTCAGACAGATGGTTGTCCAATTTCTTCTTAAAAACTTCCAGGGTTGGAGCAACCACAACTTCTGGAGACAACTTGTTCCACTGATTAATTATTGTGTCAGGAAATTTCTCCTTGGTTCTAGGTTGCTTCTCTCCTTGATTAGTTTCCATCCATTGTTTCTTGTCCTGCCTACAGGAGCTTTGGGGAATAGGTTGACCCCCTCTTCTTTGTGGCAACCCCTTTGATATTGGAACAATGCAAAGCAGAATACATCCTTCCTGGTGGGACCCTTTCAAACAAGTCTATCTTTCTCAAAGGAAAGCAGGAACTGGGAAAAAATCTGAAAAATACACCTGAGATGTTTCTGGCAAGCAGGAAACATGCCTATGAGTTGGGATACATTGTTAGGGTGGTCTACTAGACCAGAAGCCTTTTGTATTTGAGTTGTTCCATCCTTAAGCTACAGTATCTGACCAAACATCCTTTTGATATATGTATAGTTATGCACATAGAATGGAAGTTAGACATGGACCTAGAAACATGAAAAACATATTAGGTTTTGAAGAACACTAAACAGAATTGTAAATGTAACATGAAATCATCATTGGAGAACATTAAGTATGAATGCACACTTTAGAAGTAGGTACTCCATGTTCCTTATTTATATCTTAATTTCAATTTTGCAGCTTCTCATGCCATTTGTCATCCAAAGTATTATGATCAATTTTAGGATAATCCAAGGTAGAATGGCCATAATCGTCTAAGCATCTTTGCAGTGTTTGCTCTCCAGCCATATTTGGTCCCCAGCTGAGCTGCTCAACCCCCTTCCAGGCCTTTCAATGGGACTCATTGAGCAGAAAGCGGCATACACCAAAACAACACAGGCCACAATCCTGGGCCAATCTTCACAAAGCTGCACAGCTGTGTGTTACACATTCCTTTATAGCGCCCACATATTACAATGGCAGTGGTTATTGTTTCTTTTGGGGGTATACAACAAGCAACTGTATCGAGAGCCTATGATGTAATGAGCAGAAATGTTCTGCCAAGACGCTCTGGAATTAGAGTTCACACTGTGAACATTGTGTCAGATAGTGAGAGAATGAAAAACAATATGAAATTAAGATAACAAATTACAGTGAGTGACAGAATACACATTTTGTTCTAAATCTGTTTGACTCCCAAGCCAGTTTGCTACTAACATGTTCAGTGCCAAAGCGGTGGTGTTCTGAACTAACAAATATCTAGAGCCACTGCTGAAATGGAGATCCCAAAGCCCATTGAAAACAATGGGATCAGATGCACCACGGCTAAAGATCGGTAATTAGGTAACTCTTATCTGCAGTTCAAACTGAATAGGTGACATTCCAATGGCAGGTTCAGGGCCCATTCCTGGGATAATAATCCATGGTCTACAAGCAAATCTTGGTTATCATGTATTGGTTCAATCTGAAGAGGGGGTCATTTTTCTCTCTCTTTCATATGAGAAGTCCTATATTTCCTTCCCTTCCTTCACCAGACAAGTCATGCATATACTTGGCCTCTCATGATCATGATGATCTGAGTATAACCATCAACTATAAGCAGGAAATATGGCCAGCTCTCAAAAAATAGGGCTAGCCTTACATTTTCTACTTTATCCCTTCTTTTGTTTGTAGCCACCCAGTTCCAATCTCCAAGAAAGGCTTCAGGTGGCACAACAAACCACTAACTAGACAACCAGACAATATTTTACCCAGCCATATCCTGGGGAAACATCCTAAATAGTTAATTTAGGTTTTGTCTGTTGTGAGAACCTAGAAAAATGGGTTCATTCAGTAAATCCATGAATTAAGTTAATCATGGGTTAGGCACATTGTAGGAAAAGTGTCCTAATCACTAGATCAAACTATATTAATATTTGTTTTTTAACGGGAAAAAGGCATGTATTCTCCAATCAGTGAGGTCTGCACGGTCAAAGCCCCACCCCTCTTCTACTCACAACAATGTGATGCACACATAAAAGGGGCAGGACTTTACACAGTTACATGGGCCATCTTGATTTTTTTTGACCCTCCCAAACGCCTGTGTCCCCATTTATATTAGAAGCCACAACCACAACAAAACTCGCACACCACATTCTGAATTGCTAGAATGACTGGGTTAGAACAATTTGAAAGGGAAAATATCAACAGGCAAAATGAGAAGAAAATAAACTCGTTAATTTCAACATTTATTTCAGTATATTGTACAGTATTTCACTTCAGAACAAAAGGCATCATTATCATCATCAGTATTCATTGGATGTGACTTGAATTGGCTCTGATTACAGTACAAAAATGTAGGTAATAGTTCAATCGCTTATGTCAGAATACAAATTAATTGAAACAAAGTAAAAAAAAAACAAGTTGGCAGAAAGGAGACTGAAGAAAATACATTTAGGATCGGTCCCGCTGCATATATATATAAGGAGATATATACATTTTTTTTGTTGTTATTTACCTTGCAATTAGAAATGGGTGTCTTTAATTTCCTTCATACTGATGCATATAGACAATTTACTGAAATAGTCATCTTCCTTATAGTGCTTGTTCTGTTTTCAGACTGAGAAAACAAAGAGATATCCCTTAATCTTTGGGGAAAGAAAACATTTCTGCAGTTGGAACACAAAGGCTTCTTTCACCTATCTTGGTAAGCACTGCCAGATAAGATGGCCTTGAGTGATATAAAAGGAAGGAGTAACTTATTCTGCAAAATCAGTTTCAGACAATTCAGATACATATTTGTTAATCCTGTTCCTAGCAAGAGGGAGGGAGGAGGAAGGAATGGAAAAAGAAAAAGAGGCTTAATATTTCGACAGAATTATGAATGAAAAAACCTGACCAAAGAAGACTGTGTCTGGACCTAGCTTGATCTTTATTTGCTATTTCTATTCAGAGAAATGGGGTGTTTACGCTTTACAAACACCAGGTTGTTGTTGTTTTTTCTATCTTCTACAACCGATGCAGCTTAGAAGGTGGAAGGTGGAAGTAGATGGAAGACCAAAAATTGAATGTAAACCCTTCCACTTGTGCCAAAAAAATGTTTCTCCAAGGCCTGGGAAGTTTCGGGAGCTCTTATACGTGGGCACTCTTCGCATGGGTGGGAGAGCTGGATCCAGAAGCATAGTAGAAGCGGTTCTCTCCAAACGTTTGAGCATCACCTGAACAACAAACGATGATGCATCCACCGAAGAGGCAAAGAGCCGATCCGATCCAGCCGGTGTAGAGGGAATATCCAAAACTCATAATCATGGTTTCACGGTGAGCACTCACAGGGAACCAAATGGTAGCCACAATGCCACACAGAGCTGGGGAAACATTTAAAAAAAATCACTGCAGCCCATCACAGAGTCTAGAATTCCACAGCAATTTACAAATCCTAGATTTAACAAGTGTCTGAAATGTGTACCTATGTTTAAAATAAAATTAAAGGTCAGAATGTTGTGCAGTCATATCAACGGCACTTATTAGAACATGTTGTCGTGTAAGCCTTTTGATTAATTTTTCTGAATGCCCAAAGATGCTTTTTCACAAGGCAACTGGGCTTTCTTGTTTTTCTTTGAAGACGTTTCACTTCAGCTCTGAAGCTGAAGAAGCTTCTTGGATGAGAAGCAAAACATCTTCAAAGAAAAACAAGTCCAGTTGCCTTGTGAAAAAGCATCTTTGGGATAACTATGGATGACTGGGTGACTGAGAATCTCCATAGACATTTTTCTGAATGAATTCTCTAAAAAGCAGATACATTAAGTACTATTTCTTAAATGCTCAAGCACTTAACAATTATCTTTCACTCATTGGCTTAAGGTGCAAAATAAACTTGTGACCATTTTTTTTTTAATTTCCAAACATGGCTAAGCAGAATATGGGATTGTTAACTCTTAGATCTTCATTCTTCGACTACACCAAAGCCTAGTGGCCTGAGGTAGCAAACTGAATTAATGCATTATATATTGTGAAGAAATATCTCCCTTTGGTGAATCTGAAATAGACTCCTTTCTATTTTTATTGAGGATTCTATCAGAAGTCATTTTTTCCATCTCTTTGCTACTGTTTTCATTATGCTTTTCTTTCTTGCGTCTTTTTTTAGTGTAAGGAAAGGAGATAATGTTCCTCCCTCCAATCATATAATTTGGCCTTGCAAGAACTAGATCCCTGAATAATTAACTAGACACTGAAATAAAATAAAAATTCTAAGCATGCTCAGTCAAGAGTCCATCTCATCAAAATCAGTTATTACTTTGAAGGAAATAAAATTTCATTGTGCAATCTGTCTTTTATTTTGCAATCAGCTCTTCAACCATCTGAAGTACCCTTGGCTTTCCATGTGACCATTAAATCCCAATAGAAATCATTAAGAAGAGACTTTTCCACAGTCACTTTTTAGATATATTGGAAAATGTGGGCAACCAAAGAAGCTTCAGAGTATAATAGAACAAAGGATTGCAGCAGCATCTTTTTCTTCCTCCAAGAACCGAGTCGGTGTAAATGCTCCACTAAGAGAAATCCAAAAGAAATTCTCTATCGTTCTGAGAATAAGATAACATAATAGATGCCTTTGAAATAATAGAAAATACTTGTGGCTCGGGTTTTAGATTTTTGGCAGTGGTTTGCTCTCCAAAGCTTGTTTCAATTTATTTCCTGAATGTTTCGTTACCAGATTAGATAACATCATCTTTTCTTGTCCTATTCTCCTTAGCTTATAAATGTCTTCTGTAACAGTAATAATAGATGCCTTTTGGGGGAAGGGATGTAGAAATTGGACATCAGATTTCAGCAAGGCATTAGAGGGCATGCTTGAGAGGGGAGCACTGAAATGGGACACACAAAATTGCACAGGTTCTTTTTAATGTGGGTGTGACACATTGCATGCCCATAAAACAGAAGTGTGGCATGGGTCACACAGTGGGAGCCACCATCCTGATCTTTTTGGTCCCCACACACCACTGTGCCAAGGGCTTTTTAAAGAGCCAAAATTATTCTATTTTACATTTATGCCATAAGAATCCAACACTATGGAACTGTCAAAATATGAAGTCCCATCTTGTCAAGTAATGACTTGACAACTGAACTGGCCAATTATTTTATTGCCTGCAGCGGAGAGACACACTGGATTCAATCATTTAAATTCTTTTGAGAACCCAAGTGTAACAAAACGCTAGGAGAACCTATGGTGTCCCAGAGACCACATGGAAAACATAATAAGGCAGTGTCAAAATCCCGAGGCTACAAAAGGAAGAAAATTACAGGGAAAAAATAGAAAACAGGGATCAAATGTTTGACTTAAGAGGGATAACCCCATTGCCAGGCCTCCAGGACTAGGATGTCACAAGCAAAGTTGCAGCTGTTAAAAAGAGAAAAGAGCAGGACAGATGACGGGAGCTTAGTAAATTCAAATAGTTTCTATCTAGGATCTCCCAGAGCATCAAACGTCCAACCCAGTGAATGACGAACCTTTTAGAGACCAAGTGCCCAAACCCCCCACCCCATCCCTACTCCGCCCTGCCCGCTGGGCCACCCACCACCTCCACGGCCTGCCACAGATCACCCAGGCAGCCCAGCAGCGCCATGGTGGCCACACCCTCCACCCATGCTGCGCAGCATTATCTGCACGCGATGGGGCGCAAGGGCGGAGTCCTGTCCCCGCTGCCCTGTCCTTGGCTGCGCTGCTGCCCATGGGCCGCACCCACGGGCGACTCTCCTTCAGAGGTCTGCTGGTGAGGAGGGGGTCATGGGAGGATGCGGGGCTGGGGCAACGGTGTGTGTGCCCACAGAGAGGGCTCCGAGTGCCGCCTCTGGCATGCGTGCCATAGGTTCGCCACCACTGATCCAATCCAAGTCCATGATGGACACTGTTAACCGTCTGTGAGCAACCCTGCCATAAAGTTTTCAAGCAACCTACGAAATGTTGAAGGGAGAGTGTGTTTGTCTGGAGATTCCATTAATTCCACAGTGATTTAGGTAGCTTCAGAGAAGAGCAGAAGTGGGAACATTAGGACTTGAAATCTCTGCATTAATAGGTAACTCTCTTTATCATATCCAGGGGCAGCATTTTAAAACAGTATCTGGAACCAAGAAATGTTGCTGTCAGAAAACCATACCATCATAAAGCTATAAGGGATTTCAGGAATCATCTAATCCAGCCCCTTGCTTGGTATAGGACCCACTAAAGTGTTCCAGAGAGGTGTGGAGTCCTTGCTGGTCTCTGGGCTTGGTTGTTTTCTTGCAGACATTTCAATACCCAACTTGGCACTGAAGGTGTTATCTAGTTGGGTAATGAAACATCTGCAAGAAAACAACCAAGCTCAGAGACCACGAAGGACTGCTCAGTGCAACTTGAGCTACAAATTTTCAACTCTTTTGGTCTCAAGTCTCTAATCTCCTGATGGAAAGTGAGACCTCCTGAGGATCTTCTGATTCCTGCTGATTCCTAACCTGAATCTACTTTCCTACAAAGAGGAAGCAGATTTACAATGAGACCATACACTCTCCCTTTTTTATCTCTATGTATCTCTTTTTCCATTCTCCGTCTCTAACTGTTCTAGTCGGCACCTTCATCTCTGTCTTTGCTTTGTCCTTGTTTTGCTTTGCTAACTTGCATTCCTTTTCCCCCTTCTTTCCACCAGCCAAGGACGTTTCTTTTAGCAAAGACTGAACCATTGGCATCTGTTCAGGGGTCAAACTATCCTTTTGAGAAAAGCAGAGAAAGCTGCCTGGGAAAGCCAAAGGAAATCATCAAAACAATTAAAAAACGAAAATTAGAATATTTCGGACATGTGATGCGACACCCAGAAAAATACGGCATACTCCATTTAATCCTCCAGGGAAAGATTGAAGGCAAACGAGGTCCAGGCAGAAGAAGAACATTGTGGCTTCAAAATCTAAGGGACTGGTTTGGACAAAACTCAGCAGCACTTTTTCATGCGGTTGCTGATAAAAACAGGATCGCCAACATGATAGCCAATGTCCAATAACAGATATGGCAGCAGCAGCAGCAGCAGCAGCAGCAGCAGCAGCAGCAGCAGCAGCAGCAGAAGAAGAAGAAGAAGAAGAAGAAGAAGAAGAAGAAGAAGAAGAAGAAGAAGAAGAAGAAGAAGAAGAAGAAGAAGAAGAAGAAGAAGAAGAAGAAGAAGAAGAAGAAGAAGAAGAAGAAGAAGAAGAAGAAGAAGAAGAAGAAGAAGAAGAAGAAAGAAGAAGAAGAAGAAGAAGAAGAAGAAAGAAGAGAAAACCTGCAGATGCTCACGAAATGTCCACAGAGAGGGTCCAAAAAGTCAAACTGGTGGCTGTGACAACACAAATAAAAAGCCCTGCCTTTTTGTAGATATGGACAAGATCACAGCAATTGTGAAAAGTAAGCTTCAGTCACAAAGCTGTAATTGCCATTGGTCATACACCCACACACACACAACATAGATGCTGCTGGACTGTATTCAAATAAAGATCACCCTCTTCATCCAGGATATAAAAAGACAAAGCACTGAGAGCTTTTTTTTTTTTTAGACAAACGGTGCAAATGTGATACACAATATTTTAAAAAAAATATTTTTAACAGTAATTAAAAACTTTAATAAAAGATTAAAACCAACTTCAACCTAGCAGTTCTAAACTGAATTCTGCTGAAGGGACACTGCATCTAAATCAGTTCTTAGATAAATGGAATTGATTAAATCAAGTTAGTAGAGATTTAAGGCCAAATTTTGTAATCTTAGTAGAACAAATCCCACAGAATTGCAATTTTAGAGGCTAGCATTCCCAAACTCTTCTCCTACTCTTGACTTATAGATGTTTTCTTTCCTGTTTTATTATCTTATTGGTTTATTCCTCCCTTTTGATTTCTGAAATAGGCCCAGGAAGAAACTTGAACTAAATTATTTATAATAACTTGAGATCCTTTATCAATGAATATGTATGCTTACATCGTCTGTTACTTATACATTAGTTTCTCCTGCCTTTCCGAGTTGTACAAATATGAGCACATCCCTTTTTTGGGAGGGGTTGTTCTCTCAATACTTTTTGGAGGGAGAATCAGCAGCAAATGCAGTAAGCCTTGATTATTTGCTTTAGGTCCTGTATTGGATTCCTCAGACCAGACCAGTACATCTACAGAGGGTCAAAAGCATCAAAATGGCAAGAATGACTGACAGTTAACTCTCTGCCTTTTTGACATGTCTCGCAGGCATCACATGAGCATAAAAAAGGGGAGGGCCTTGATCATCTGGTCATGTTGCCATTTTACCCCAGATGACCCCTCATGCACATCCAGATGTTTCTGGTGCTATTCGACCAATACATTTGGACAGACAAGCACAGC